TGCTTAGTGCCTCACCGTTGCTGAGGCTGGCTTTGTACTCTCAATCCTCCTGTCTCAGCCTTCCAAGCTACTGGGATTACAGGTGTGTGCTAAGTCAAGACAGACACAGGGCTGGGAGATGTAGCTGAGTGGCAGAGCACTTGCTTAACATGACTGAGGTCCTGGATTCAATGTCCAGTACCACTGCCCCCAAAAGGCAGTCACAAAGGACCACAAGTATATGATTCCGTTTATATGAAATGTCCAGAACAGGCAACTCTACAGACACAGAAAGCAGATGAGTAGTTACAGGCTGGGGTAGGTACAGGGATTAAGGGTTAAAGCTAAGGAATATGAGATTTATTTTTTTGGAACAATAAAAATGTTTTAAAGGTAACTTATGGTTGTATAGCTCTATGAATATACTAAAAACAATTAAGTTGTATACTTCAAGTAGGTAAATTGTATGGCATGTGACTTATATCTCAATAGTGCTGTTATAGGTTGAGCATCCCTAATCTAAAAATCCAATTTCATATGCTCTAAAATCTAAAATTTTGGGAATGCCTACATAACACTCAAAAAGTTTCAAGTAGGGCTATACAAGGCCCTGAATTTCATTCCTAACACTGCAAAATAAATAAATAAAAATTTATTATTTTTTTTCCAGAATTTGGACTGTTTTGGATTTCCAGATTAGATGACCTTGGGTTTGAAGTTGACTTCTTAGCTAAAACATCAAAAGCATAATCCATGAAAGAAAAAGCTGATAAATTGTATTTCATTAAAATTGAAAACTTCAGGGGCTGGTGTTGTACCTCAGTGGTAGAGCGCTTGCCTAGCACAGGTGAGGCGCTGGGTTCAATCCTCAATACCACAAAAAAATAGATAAATAAAGGTATTGTGTCTATCTACAACTAAAAATTAAATAAATAAAAATAAAAAAAATTAGGGACTGGGGATATAGCTCAGTTGGTAGAGTACTTGCCTCACATGCACAGGGGCCCTGGGTTCAATCCCCAGCACCACACACACACACACACACACACACACACACAAAAAAAAAAAAAAAAAGACCTGGGAGCCGAATCTGGGCTGAGCTGGTAGTGTTGAGTTCTTTTTTGGAAGCTTTATTTATGATTGCTAAAATATGGAAGCAATCAAGTTGTCCTTCAATAGGTGAATTGACAAACCAGGGTACATCCATGAAAGAGAATATTATTCAGAACTACAAAGAAATAAGTTATCAAGCCACAAAAAAAAAAAATGCATACTACTAAGAGAAAGAAACTAATTTCTAAGAAAGTAGGAATTCTGATTTTTTTCACTATTATATTCCAAGCATACAGAAATGTATCTGTCTGTCCAAGCCAGATAAATTGTATTTCAATAAATACTTTTTTAAAAAAATGTTACTTCTCAATGGACCTTTATTATTTATTTATTTATTTGTGGTGCTGAGAATCGAACCCAGTGCCTCACACATGCTAGGCAAGTGCTGTACCACTAAGCTACAATCCAGCCCTCAATAAATATGTGATGAATTAATAAAAGTGCAGGAAAAAAACATTTTTTAGCCATCACTGACATCTCTCTTTCTCTCACCCCGCATCTCATCTATTAGCAATTTCTGTCAGTTCTGATTTCTTATAAATATATCCAGAATCTGATCAGTTACTACCGCCATAGATCTACTCAGGGCCAAGTCATAGTCATCTTATGCCTAGATCATTCCAATTGCTTCCTCATGGGTTCCCCTGCCTCCACAATCTATTCTCTACACAGCAGCCAGAGGGAGCCTTTTTAGCAGTTTGTCCTCTGTCCTACACAGTAAATCTTTTCAACTTTATAGCCTATGCTGTCTCTGTTGGAAAAGTCAACTCTGCAGGAAGCAGCCACAGACAACAAGTAAAGGAACAAGCATGGTTATATTTCAGTATAACTCTACTATCAAGCTGGGGCTGGGGCTCAGTGACAGAGCACTTGCCTAGCATGTGTGAGGCACTGGGTTGGATCCTTAGCACCACAAAAAAATAAACAATAAATATTTTTTTAAAAACTTTATTATCAATAGTCTACTGACTCCTGCTGTAGTCACAGGGTGTCATTCCTCTACTCTAAACCATCACATAGGCAGTTAACATCCAAAGTCTGCATATGACCACCTCCCTCTTGATTCATGCTATTCCAGCACAGTTCTCCTTCTGTGCCTTTCCAGTGACTGTTCTCTGCCTGGAGCACTTTCTTCCCTACCCATAAGTTCACTTGTCTCCTCCTCCATGAAAACTTTCTTGACCATCTGATCTACACTGGCCACAATCACTGGCTCCCCATTTACCCCTCATACTCTGACTGCGATAGAGTAAGCCCTCCTATATCCACAGGTTTGCATCCATGGATTCAAACAATCACAGATTTAAAATATTCAGAATGGGGACTGGGGATGTAGCACTTGCCTAGCATATGTGACAATGCCCTGGCTTTGATACCTAGTACCACAAAAAGAAAAAGTGAGGGAGACCAACCTTACACATGACTGAGTCACACTCCCTGGCTGGGTGCTGAGGCGCTCAGTCACAGAATGTGGCAGAGCTTTCCCTACCCTTCTTGAGTCTGAGGGTCCGTGTCTCGCGCATAGGTATGTCTTGCCCCATGGATGAAGCTATGCTTACCTGTTCCTTTGTAATATAACCCCTTGCCCTGTTTAGGATAGAATCTTCCATGGAAGTCCCCTTGTGTGTGTCCCCTTCTCTTACTATGCCCTTGGGTGTGGCCTACCCAGGTGTCTGTCAACCTGCTGACAGTGGACATCATGAAGATTGACTCAGCCCCCTGAAACCTGACCCCTTGCCTCATTTAAATAATTTCTCCTCAATAAAAGGGGTCAGCGCTTGTTCTTGCTCTCTCTCTTCCTGCGGACCCTTAAGATCAGAGGAGCTGTCACAGCGACCCCAAACAAAAAGATATTTATGTCTCTTTTGTGGTTATTTTGTGCAGCCCCAGTCAGCCCAGTTTTACTGGAGTGACCTCTGAGCCTTTTAGTCACAAGAACAGAAACCAGGCAAAAAAGGAAATAAATTCAAAATAGCACAAGAGGGCCAGGAATAAGCTCAGTTGGTAGAGTGTTTGCCTCATGCACAAAGCCCTGGGTTTGATCCCCAGCACCGCAAAAAATTTTTATACATATTTTGAATATCAAAAAAAGTAAAGGGCTGGGGATGTGGCTCAAGCGGTAGCGAGCTCGCCTGGCATGCTTGTGGCCCGGGTTCGATCCTCAACACCACATACAAACAAAGATGATGTGTCCGCCGAAAGACTGAAAAATGAATATTAAAAATCTCTCTCTCTCT